GTGTAACAGTATCTACCCTAGAGATTGCATGTTCTTCATAATGTTTCCCTTTCATCCACTCTTGAGAACTTTCCCTGCATTATGCTGGTACTGTTCCAAGGGGAGTCCATGTAGTCACAGCAGATCAGCTTTCTTAGAGCAGAAGGGTTTTTTGCAGTTATTGGCCTTTACACCTTGCAGAAAGGTAGGCAGTACCAGACTACACAGCTGCCATGAGTTTTGTAATGTGATGGAAGGCAAAGACCCTCCCCACTTGAAGTTAAGCTGCTGATTCTCATTGATACACTTATTACTCCAGAGAGCTGTCACACCTGAGCCTCAGAGCTTGGCTGTAGCAGGTGGGAGAGATGATGGAAAACAACACTCAAGGAAGCCATTCTGCTCATGGAGAGAACTTTACTATGTTGGTATGTCGTACTAATATATGGTAGCAAAAGGAATTGCAGGAAGGTGCCAGTAGAAGGAGAGCCAAAGAAGAGGAAGCTGCTGAGACACTGCTCTATTTTATGTTTTATCTTTGTCTAAATAATCTTGGTGTAGTTAAATGTTATCAGTGTTATTTTTATCCTTAAATCTTGAATCATACTGAAATCATAATTTATCCCAAGTATAAAAGAAAAGAAAGTTTGTCGTGATAAGTAGCAGATTAGATTTAGACAGTCAAGTCCAGTACTGGTGCAAGTGATATATCTCCATTGACTCTGACAGAATTTTAGCCACTCATGGTGATAAGAAATTTGACTGTTGCTGTTTAGAGGTTTAATAACAAACTGATCCACGGTATGGATAACTCTGGTTTTATATTTGAAAAGTGAGAAGTTGATAATGCTTTCACTGGGCTGACACCAATTGAGCCTAGACTTGATGAAATCACATTCCCAGACATACTGTTGTCAAGCCTAAGGCCTGGATTTAGAGACACAGGAAGGGTGAAAATGTGCAAGCAATATGAGAGTGCCAGAGCAGAGTTTCAGTTTTGCTGAACTCTTGACCAAAGGGAGAGAACATGAAATATGTGAGAGCACTGACAGGAAGAATATTTCTGTCCAAGGGAAGGATCAGTGTCCACTAGCAGAGTGAGGAGTTATGGCACAGTTGTAATTAAGAGCTGAAGAATGAGTAAACAGTCATAAAGTCAACTTTCTACTTAGTCTGGGCAAGTTTGAATATCAAAAGAAAGACACTCAGAATGAAATAAAACTGAGGGCACAGAGTTTAAAACATTTTATAACAGCACATAAGTAACCTGTGGAAACCCTTTTGGAAAATACAGTAATTAGAAAGCTTAGTAAGAACAACCGCAGTAGCATTTATACTAACAGGAATCCAGTTCAAGGTTTAGAAAATAAAAATTTGGCTGGAAATCTTTAGGCTTTCAGCCATGAGCCAGCCTGTCACTGACAGGGCATTTCCCGTAGGGACTGATTATTACATATTTATTGCTTTGTTAGGCATTATTACAAAGTTTGATTTAGCTTATTAAAACTGAAGAGGTGGATGTTATACTGTTGGTTTAGTCCAGTCAAGCAATTCCCTTAATGTGCTATGCTGGTACAGGAAACAATCTTCAAAAAGAATTCCTGTCTGGACTGCAGGCCCAGGCTGTGTATACTCCACAACCTATGCCACCTTAATCATTTGTTTTGGACTGATACCAAAAGATTTCTGGAACTTTTTGTTGTCTTCCAGTAAAGAAATGATAGGTGTAACCCTACCTAGCATACTGTGGTTTTTTTAGTGTCTCATTAACCTGTTTAGCTTGGGAGGAATCATTAGAACAAAACCATAGGATCCTTTGTGAAGGAACAGGGAAATGATAGTTATGTGTGCTATTGTGCTGCCAAGGCTTATGTGTGACATTTGACATCAACAGGCATCGAGCTTCTGGTATGCTTTTGAGAGTACCAGCAGTAGTGGCTACATCCCTTAAACTCCTGAGTATTTCTGCATGAATGAGTGCAAACTCAGAAGCTAAGTGGTTTCCGAAACTTGTGTTGTTACGTTGCTATGCCACTTAATCCTAGCTGTGATTTTCACTGAGACTTTTTTGTGGGGTAACATGGCTGCCTGATTTCTGGGCTAGAATTAGATCACTTCCAGCATTTTAGGAGAGTAGACAGTGCAAACATGATACCATACTACTCATGTGGGTCTGTCCCAAGTGTTCACAGCTGTTCATGTGTTGGACATAAACAGAAATGTGTGTACAATCCCCTTGAAAGTATCCTATTGTGTGTAACAGCCACTGTTAGTCGTACAGCTTCTTCAGGAAATCAGTGAAGCCAAATAAATCTATAGAAACTTGAATCTGTGGACTGAGGAAATTAGCCTCTTCATCAACCTGAGTGGTATTCATTGTTTTGAAATTTCTTCTTCTCTCTTGGCCTGAGAGCTGTCTACTGATGAAGGACCAGGGGGAATTTTAGGTTAAAATAAGAATCCAAGATGTCTTTGAAAGTCAAATGTGGTATTAACATCATGCAGCTGTGAATAGTTCTTTAAAATAGTTAAAATCTTTTCTTGAGGCAAAGCATACTGAATTAGTGCTCCCGGAGACCTCAAGAAGTAGTAGGCAAGGAGAATACCAATATGTGCAATTTGTCAGGGAAAAAGCCTATATTTCACAGTCATTAGGGTTGGAAAAGACCCCTGAACTTATTGAGTCCAACTTTTGACCTAACTCTACCATGTCAACTAGTCCATGGCACTAAGTGCCTCATACAGTCTTTCTTTAAACACCTCCAGGGACAACAGCTCCATCATATCCCTGGGGAACACATTCCAATGTCTAATCACCCTTTCTGTAAGGAAATTCTTCCTGATGTCCAACCTGAATGTCCCCTGGCATAGCAGAAGATTGTGTCCTCTTGTCCTGTCACTAGTTGCCTGCGAGAAGAGACTGAGCTCACCTGGCTACTACCTCCTACCAGGTAGTTGTAGACAGTGATAAGGTGACCCTGAACCTCCTCTTTTCCAGACTAAGCAACCCTAATTCCCTCAGCCTCTCCTTATAGGACTTGTGTTCCAGACCCTTCAGCTTCGTTGCCCTTTTCTGGACATGCTCCAGCACCTCAATGCCCTTCTTGAAGTGAGGGCCCAGAACTGGACACAGTACTGAGGTGTGGCCTCACCAGTGCCAAGCACAGGGTGGAGGATCACTTCCCTAGTCCTGCTGACCACACTACTGCTGATACAAGCCAGGATGCCATTAGCCTTCTTGGCCAGCTGGGCACTCTGCTGGCTCATGTTCAGCTCCTGTCAACCAACATCCCCAGGTCCTTCTCTGCTGGTCTCCTTTCCAGCCACTCTGCCCCCAGCCTTTATCACTGCATGGGGTTACTGCAGCTAATTTCCAGAGTATCTGACAAAATACTCAAGTAGATATGATTCAATATCTTGTTTTGTAGTCTCTAAGAGAAGTCTAAAAGAGGAGATAATATTAGAATGGTCACATGTAAAAAGAGTATAATGAAAGCCTGCAAGGTGCAGCTGTTTAATTTGCCCCTTTATAACAGAAAATGATGATACTCATAGATAAGAAGCAGCTGTTTTACAATTGAATTGCAGTAGCATTTATACATGATGAATCATGTAAAGAAGGTTTGTTATAGATTCCAATTAGTCTTGTCCTTTAATAATAAAAAAGAGGACACTTAAAGCTAAAAGACAGCTATTGTTAAATCAGGCAGGTAAGAAAATAGATTACCTAAACAATATTCAATCGATTCACAGCAATCTCATGTCTACAGGCTATTATTGAAGCAAATAGCTTGATAATTCTTTAGAAATATGTCAGAGTGAGAATAGTGAAAGTACTTACATTAATTGAGATTATGTGAAAAATCTAATTTTGTTCAAACTGTATTATACAGTTCATTGTGCTGTGAAAGTAGGTTGTTTTCCTCTTGGATATCAGCCATAAATACTATTGGAAGCAGGATGCTGGACCAAATAAGAGAGGTGCTGGTAACTTCTTCTGCCCTTTCCTGAGCATTGTTTCTAACTGGGCTTGCTCCAAAGCTTGTGTATAATCCTGAGGTTGAATCAGACCCTTTATAAGGTCTGGCTTCAGTTGTGCTTGAGGAGACCTTACCAACACCTGAATCCACCTGCTTGGACCAAAAAGTCCAGCTCTAAAAGCCACTAGTGCTGAGTTCCTCATGCTTATACATCAGGTGTGCAGTCTGTCTTTAACTGATTTGGTTTTAATACTTCATTTAGAATAAATTGGTGAGTAATGTCTGTGCTATCTTTTTCTAATCCAATCTTAGACTCCTGCACATAGAAGAAAGGTCAGTACACAGTGATATGACCAGAGAATATTTATTTTTATAACCAATTAATATAATCCATTTTGGTTTGAGTTGGTTTTTCCTAGGGTTTATTTGGAGCTCGGGTATCGACGATTACATTAACATGTGCTTAGGTTTTTCATGGGTTCAGACTGCTGTTTGGCAGACCAAATTAACACATTATGTGGTCACATCTATAACCTTCATCAGTAGAAACTACCTACTGTTTCATCTTAAACTTCAGAGAATTTAGGGATGATGGTGATTCAGTAAACAAATCTTACCACACCACTGGTTAAACTGTCTATCTTCTTGTGCTTGGAATAGTTATTAAGGGAGATCTGTCTCTCCTTTCATGAATCATTTATAGTAGAAGTAAAATATGCCCAGAAAAGTAGTTTGTAAAAGGTTATTGTCAGCCTGACTTCATGTTTAGGCCATTTATTCTGTCTGTGAGTCAGGATATGTGTATCCTACTAGTGGCTGCAGTTCACTCTAGAGTTATTTTACCTCATCAAATCCCAGTGCACACAATAATCACTTCATGGAAATCACAAGATCTTTATGCCTTGATCTGAAATATGAAGGAAGAAAACAGACATTGGAGAAGGAAAAACATTGGGTAGGGCTGCACGAATGGTTGGAATTAAAATAAATAGGCCATGCATGTGACTGGTCACTAACAATAATTTCATTTGGTTCACCTAGAAAAAAGAAGAATGGAGAAGAAGAACAGCCAAAGCCCTCTCTCAGTAATCAATACCGAATTGTTACACCCACATTCCAGTATAATATGGACTACAAGAAAGTGGGCAAATGTATTATTATAAACAACAAAAATTTTGAAGACAAGACAGGTAATGTTGTTCCTCTGATGATACTCATTACAGGCCATAGAATTTTCATACTTTCATTGATCAATAAGCATTCTATTTTTAGGACCTAGAATTTTAATTAGTATATTTATCTTTTTTGATAAATAGTTGTTCCTAAAACTTTTCCTGTTCCTTAACATTTCTATTAGAGAGTGACTCTTTTCAGCTTCTTTGCAGTGTGTATTTCAAAGACCATGTTTCCTTGCTGTACCAACTTCAAACTAAACCTTTATCCCAGAGTTTAAGACTGTGTTGTTAAAATTTGAACTTTGGCATCAGCAACCCATGTTATAAATTCTGTGTCCCTGAGCTACAGCTGTGAGCTACAAAAGCTAATAGCTGTAGCTGTGCTCTGTTCACACTCCTGCATTTAGCTTTTCAGACCACATATGGTTTCAAAGTAGACAGATCCTTGTGTTATGATCAGCTTTATAGGATTTTTCTTATACACTTGACAAACACACTAAGTTGTTTTCTCCAAGGATTGTATATCAGTTCCTTTTATGTGGGTGTCATAGGGACTCTTTTCAACAGGTTTCCATGGGGTGTTTTATGCCTGTGTTACACTGCATAACCAAAAGGAGATGAATCATCCATAGAGGTCCTGTGTTGCAAGGTGCTGGAGACATGCCAGCATTTTTCGGGATAAGATATGTGTTAACACTAAATGTTGCCTTACTTGAAAATCTCACAATTTGTTCTCAGTGCTATGAGAGGATTGTTTTAAAAACATGTCACGGTGATATTGTTCAGGTTTATTAATTATAAACCTAAAAATTTACTTTTGAACACGTGAATTATTTCGAGTTGTGTAATGTGCAATCAACCATCTTCTTTGTTTTCTGGCAGGAATGGGTACACGCAATGGCACTGATAAAGATGCTGGAGATCTAGCTAAGAGTTTTAAAAACTTAGGTTTTGATGTTCACACCTACAACGACCGAAGCCGTGATGATATGGAAAAATTACTGAAGCAAGGTAAAAATTTGTAATCTTAGAATAATTTAGAATGGAAAAGACCTCTGGAAGTCACTGAATCTACTCCCTGCTCAAAGCAGGTTAAAGTAGAAGAGATTGCTTAGGCCCCACACGTACAGTTTTCTGTATAGAAGGATTTGGTTTCTGAATAGATTCGGCTTATTTCCCCACCTCTTCCTCCAACATGATTCAGAAACACACAGTGCTCTTGTGAAGCACCTGTCCTGTGTATTAGGCGAAGAGCCTTCTCGTGTCAGATAGAGTCCAGCCTGTTGATTCCAGTTTGCTAGACTCAGAGTCAAGTGCAAGGTGCATCCATGTACTCAAGGTACTCATCGCACTGTAAAAAGTGGGTTGTGTCATCTTTGTCTAATCCTTCATTTGCCTTCCAGTAGAGTCCAAATGTACATTTAGTCTCAGAAAAAAACGTGTTGCATATAATTTTCATTTAAAATGTTGATTCCTTTTGACTAAGAAGTATTTGATTTGTAGCTGCCGAGGAGAATCACAGTGATGCTGCTTGTTTTGCCTGTATCCTTCTAAGCCATGGGGAAGAAGGTCTCATCTATGGCACAGATGGACCCATGGCTATCAAGAGTTTGACTGCACTATTCAGAGGAGACAAGTGTAAAAGCCTTATAGGCAAACCCAAATTATTTTTCATTCAGGTAATAGCCCTAAGGTAAATATAGTATCCTACTGCTGCAGGGGGGAAAACATGCTCTGTTGGTTGTCTGCTCTAAAAGAGCTCTGTAGGTTAACTTACTGAATGTTGCTGGAGGTTTTGGGGGAAAAAATGTGTTGAGAAAAGTTGTCTCTGGGGGATTTGTATTGTGTTTTTAAAAGCTAATTTTTATATGAGATTCTCATATGTAAAGAACATGTAATTTTGTATGTGTTTTCTCTTGGTAATATATGAATTTCAAAGCAGAAAGATAAATTCCTCGTCCAGAGAGAGCTAAGAACAGAACTTGATTATCAGTAGGAATAACGCTGTTCAGGTCTGTCTGAATTAAGGCTGCCTCTACAAATTATGCATTCTGCTAAAAGAAGTACTTTTTCTCTTCCTCAGTAGTCTAAAAATTTAGATTGCATTTTAAAATTAGCATATAATTAATTGTATATTAGTTAAATTTTAAAGACAACTGTTTCAAACAGTATTAACTGACATACCATGGGTCTGAATTCTCTTTCTTGTCACAGTATTACATACATAGGAGAGTTGCAGCAGATGTGGTTTTCCCTAAGCTGTTCCATCAATTAATCCTCAACCTCAAAGGGAAATCTGTGTCTATTTTAGACTACTAAAGTAGTGTTTCTTTTAATTATAATTTTGGAATGAGTAATTATAGCCTTTAAAATTATCTTAATAAAGGCCACCAGCCCTGTTATATAAACCCATCAGACTGTTTTTTTGCAAGAGCTGTCAGTCAAAGCTACTGATCAAGAGCTGGAATTTACCAACCCAGACTGCTGTCCCAGTGTGCCCTTTAGCTAAACTCGCAATTAAGGGAAAATTAGGAATAAAAGAGATAAATGGAAAAATATTTAAGATGCAATATACTTGAAATGGGTGGTCAGACACTAGAACAGGTTGCCCAGACTGTTGAGTCTCCACCTGTGGAGGTATTCCAAACCCAACTGCACATAGACCTGGACATCTGCTCTAGCTGTCCCTGCTTGAGAAGGAGGAATGGGACTAGATGATCTCAGGATGTGATTTTGTTATGCTGTGCATGTCAGGAACCAATGACAATGTGTAGTTTGTTGTAAAGAAAATGACCAGAAGTTACACTGCACAAGGCATTATGTAAAAATTGAGTGCTGAGAATGGCTCTAGACTAGTAAAATTAATCATGGTTAGAATAATGCTGCCAAATAACTGAGATCCACAGCCTCAACACCTTTACCTCCCTTTACTCTATGGGAGGTATGTTTTAAAATGTGCAAGCTAGTAACTTTGTCACCAAACAATTAGACATCACCGCAGAACTGCATTTTTGCTTCTAATACATGCAAAGTACTGCTTAAAACAGAATCTGCTGAAAATGTTGATGAATACTGATTGTAACACCTTGTTTCTCCTTATTGGACAAATTCTATTTGTCTTCTCTTATTTCAGGCATGCAGAGGCTCTGAATTTGATGAAGGTATACAAACTGACTCTGGACCTGCAAATGACAATCTGGAAACAGATGCCAACCCGAGATACAAAATCCCAGTAGAAGCAGATTTTCTGTTTGCTTATTCCACAGTGCCAGGTAAAGAATAAGAGGGTCAGGGTGGGGATAGAAGCCTGATAACTCATCATCCATATTGCCTGGGTTGTAGACTGACCCTCACTGATGATATATTTTGCATTAATGGACAAAACATGAAGGCCTGGTGTACCTTGGGCCAGTGTATTGTATCCACCTCTTTTCCATTGGCTATAGAGGAAATAGGGGATTACAGATGGCAAAGACAGTTTTCTGAGAATCCTGCCCTTCCATGTCCCAGCTTAGTCAATATGTTGAATATTTGATGAAGGCAGGAAGAGGAAGAGTTACAGCACAGAACTTATTCTTAGAGAGGAAACCCATGAAATCCTTCTTCTTGCAGGTTCCCAAATACCAAAATGCAGAATGGTGCTTTAGTAGTGTGAAGATTGGAGAGTTAATACACATTATTCTTAACTTTAATGAAGTAGGATATGTGACACAAGTGTAGGAGTTCAGCTTTCTGCGTGTGCATTGTTAATCTTTGCCCAGAATCTTTAACACAAAAGAGCAAAAATAACCCCATGTGCTTTCTTATTTGTCATTCCTGTAAGGTTATTACTCCTGGAGGAATCCTGGAAGAGGCTCCTGGTTTGTGCAGTCTTTGTGCTCTGTGCTAAATGAGCATGGAAAACAACTTGAAATCATGCAGATCCTCACAAGGGTCAACTATGTGGTTGCCACAAATTTTGAATCACAGTCTGATGATCCACGCTTCAGTGAGAAGAAGCAGATTCCCTGCGTGGTCTCTATGCTCACTAAGGAACTGTACTTCTGAAAGTGTATTTTAATGCAGCCAGTGATGAAAGATCAGGATATGGTTTTGGGTGGAGATGTGATTATGAACAGGAGTAACGTATTTTTAATAACAAATGTAATTACACTGGATTTTTTTATATTGTATAAGCTGGGGCATGTAATGGATGGAGAATATGCAATATTTGAAAGAAGAATTAAATGCTGTGAGCCAACCTGACAGCTATTGCTAATTATTGTATCTTGATTTCCCTTCGTGTGGCTGTCATGATTTGTGGCTGCTGAAGATGTTCTGAGAGTCAGCTACCTGACCCATAAAGGTTTTTTTCCAGAAAACACTTTGTAAATTAAGAACAAACAAAAAAAAATAGGTCGTGAGATTCCTTCTTTTTATTTACTGCTAACTCATGGAACCATAACCTCCTTGGAAATTCCCAAAGACCATCATGTTATGGGTATGTCCAGTGGTAAAACAGTTTGTAGCTATTTAAAAGGGTGTTAATTAGTCTAATATATTAATTTCCCTTTAATGAACATTATCTATGAAGGCTAATGGTTGCTCTTTGCTTAATCTGGAAGTCAATTTACTTAGTTATCATTCTAGCTTAAGGTGAATGTATAAAAAATAATATTTGTAGAGGGTTTATCTGAACAGTATGGAAATGTAACAAATAGAAGAATCAAAATTAGACTCTTCGCAAAATATTGGCAGAGTGATTGGCTGATGCCTTATTAAAGTGCCACTGTAGAGATTTATGCCTTGCAAATGACAATTGAGTGCTAGAACCTGAAACAGTGGTAGTGCAGTTTTTCTGCTTGCAGACACAGAGATGTCTGCTAGTTGATTGGGAACTTTAGAACCATCAGAAAGTTAATGATAAGGCTTTGTTACAAAACATTGACATTTAATGTTGAAATGATAGAATTATTTGTTCCAGTAACAAATGTATGTTTAGATATCATTTCTATTTGTGAGGAATTTTGCCAAAACTGGAAATGCTTACTTGAATCAGAAACCAGAAGTGCCTTCTTAGTTACTGTACAGTCTTGATTTCGTGTTTTGGAGTTATGTTGGTGATGTTTATATTCCTACTTTTTATATTCCCTTTATGGTTGGTAGCTAGCTCAAAAAAATGAAGTTTAATGATTTGGTTAAATTGCTAAATGATTAGTTGTTCACCCTTTTCCCAGTTAATGTACTCTATACTCTTTTGCAATCTTCTAAGAAAATAAGTGCATATTATTAAAGCTAAGTTACCAAATTGTTAAGTTTATTTTCTTACAAATACTGTGACATAGTGAGACATATATTTTTTTCAAAAGTCAACTCTACAGTTGCTTGAATGAAATAAATTATTGTTTTATGGACATACTGAGCATGGCATCAATAAAGACCTTTTATATTTAATTTCCTATGAATATCTGGATGTTTGTCACTCAATCATGATGTGTATTCGCACACATGGTGAAGTATAAACCAATAAAAATACATCCCAGAACCTTTCTCATCTGAGAATGCAGATGACGTCTGTTATCTTTTCAAGAGGAGGTTTACATTGTGAGTTGAAAGGTAGATTAGAAAAGTAAGCTGGCATAGGGTGACCACATCCTATCTTAGAGTAAACCAAAGTCATTGTAAATATTTTATGGAAATATCCTGATCAACCAGTGCTTCGTCTTGCCCTTTACACACTAAATTGTACAGTGGTCTAGGAATCATATGAAAATGTTCTTCCTATTACCTCTGGCAAATAGCTCCATCTTAAACTGTTTTCTGGCATTAGAGGTATTTGTGGTTTACCATGAGAAATGGGTCCAGTCAACATTTCAGTATTTCTTTCTTGTCTGGAAGCTCGTTCTTGTCTTTATAGTTCATTATTGTTTATTTGCTCAGGGTTTGGCTTGTTTTTAAGTTTCTGTTAATGATATTCCCATCTTCAGAACTGTCCTTTTATTCAGATACTTAGGAGCTCTGAAGCCAGAGAGCCTTGGGAACAATAAAGGAGTAAGGAGGGGCTCTGAAACAGGTCTTGTAAATTTTTAAGATTATGTCAAGGAATATAGCAGCATAACAGGCAAGGAGCACATTTCCTCTTGTGTAGTGCTTTTTTTCTGAAAGGTTCTTTATCTTAGTTTAGAAGATTCTGGGAAATGCAAAATTACTAGAAGTAGTACCTGGTTAAACCTACAAGGGACTGCTGAGGAAGAATCAAAGTTAGTAATAGTGAGTTTCCTCTGTGAATAGGAAAAGCTGTTGCCCTTATTGGACATGTCTAAAATAATATTAAAAAGAGGTGGACAGATGAGCCTATGTCAGACTTAGTTGTATCTTTACCATGATGAACTCTAAATAAGGACAGCTTGGGACTTTCAGCTAAATGGTAACTGTGTCTAAGGAAAAAAGTCAAAGTAGGAATGTGATTTGAAGCTCTTCAGTGCTCTAATGTCACAAGCCAACAAGGCACTCAATGTTTACAAGAAGTCTCCTGGCAGACCAAAGGTTTCCTGGAAAAAGATGATAGTGTGGCACAGAGGAGCACAGCAATTCTACCTGCTGGGTGACAACAAAAGGAAGAAGTTGAGGCTGAATCTTAACCTTCAGGCTAGTTCTAGTATATGAAATACACAATGATCAGCATAAAATACCTGAAGACACTGCCAGAGAGGAAAGCAACATGGAAAGATAACTTAGAGTAGCAGTGAAACAAAGAGAGAAAAGCATTCCCTTGTGTCAGGACCAGTGTCTCTGGTCGATGGAGCGTTACTTTAAATCATGTCCAAAAAACATTCATGCTAGTTAAGAAGAACATTTCCTACTGACAGGCATCACCTCTGACTGGTGATGTTTACATGCTGAGGGCTGTACTAGCCCAAGAGCCTGAAGTAACCCACTCAGAATGAGGCAGCTTGACCCTTGAGCAAAGCCAGGTGACTGAATGCTGACTTAGAGGCTGTAGGGCATTTTAGCTTTTTTCCTGAATCAAATTTATAACTATTTTCTATCTAAAAGTAATTCCCTTCCCATCTGCAGGATTAGCCAAATGGTTCACTGTGTAAACCCACTATCATTAATGATATGCTGAATGTTTCTGTAGAGAATCCCAGAAATTCACTTATACCAAGATAAACATTGTCCCTACAATGAATGTACATTGTCATGATGTAGGTGGCATAAGAAATCCTGCAAACTATTTTATATTTTAGAAAATGCTGTTCTTTAAATCTGAACTTGGCTACACTTTATGGTACTCTGTGTTTTTAATATTGCTTTAACTTCCAGTCCTGGGTGGCTTTTCTGTTTTAGACACACCTCAGGGGGAATAAAAAAGGGACTGTTCAGAAAGCTGAACCAGCAAAACCAGGTTGTCTCCAGGCTTTTTCCTGTATGGGAGACATTTATCACTGCTTCAAATGAGCCTGTTTTTCATTGCTCGTGAGTGAATATTAATCTTCTGGATTTCCCCTTTCTCAACAGTCTTTAATTTGCTTCCCATGCAGAAACAGACATTTCCTTGTGGGTCATATTTCAGGGTGTTTGTATTTATACATGGACTATAAGGAGGCAGTCACAATGCAGGACAAGGACACACCATGTTTTGCTGCAGGAGGCAGTACAGACTATCTGGATGTCCTTAAAGTGTATTTCTCCAAAACCTTCATCATGAAGACATTTTGCCTGTAAGTATTCACACAGTTTGTTTTCCTTATCTTGGTGTTGTCTTTTTGAAGTTTTCTAATAGCCTATATCTTAATAATGTGAAGCATTTTATTTGCATTTTGACTGAACTGTCTCATTGCATTTCAAAAGGTTTGAAGCAATCTTAATGCCAGGCATACAAATATCTGGGGCGGTATAATCATGGAGTTGGCATTGTCTATTTTGAATTAGTCATAACCTATTTAAAAAGTTGCTTTCTGTTGAAAAGACAATTCAATGCAACGATTATGAACTTTTTTTTCCCCCCAAAATGCAGAGTGAGATAGCACAACTGTAATCTCATGGGTGTTTGTCTTCCCACCTGCAAATCTTGACTTTCACTGACATCCAGAAGAGACTTTTATCCTGTCATGGGCTCTTGGAACATTGTTTTGTGCTAATTGCATTGTTTGCTAGTCGAGGTGACTCTGTCAGTCACATTGAACAGAATAATACATTGCCTTTCATTGCAACCCCAGGCGTGTGCCCCTACTATTGACACTAACAAATTGACTTTGTGTGCAGTCATTTTTCCTTTTGGAAATTGCTTTTTTGCCCTTTTTTTTTTTTTTTGGTAGGCAATAAATGAAAACCCTAGAAGTAAATTTTATAACAGTTTACCACAGCACTTATACAACAAATCTTCCTTCCCAAAAGGCAGAAATTGCAACGGTTTCCCTAAAAAAAAACACCTCCAAAAATGCAGGCAGAAATGTTCTCCAGAGACCTCCAATGGACCGAAGTTTGCAGTGGGTCATTGTCATTTACAGCATGGTATTGTCTGGAACAGGAGGTGTGGAAGTCTATAGCTTTAATTTTGTGTCAGAGGTAAAATTCTGTATGTAACCCACTCCATTTCTGACTACCACTCCTGATCATACCATGTTGACTTTTGGCACCATGGACTAAATCACTGAAGAAACAGAAGCAAAGGAAAGCCCTTAAATATCTCAGCCCAGCCAGGGAGCTCAGCAAAGAACTAGAGAACAGCACTTGCAATCCTTCAGATATTCCCAGAAGAGGCTCTGAGGCTTCAAGTGGCTCGTGTGTTGGGTCAATGTAACCTCCCTGTAGCTAAGATAACTTCAAGTCAAGATTTGATTTTGCAAGGAATTTTGGGGTAAGACAAAGGGAAACTTTTGAAAAGGCATTGTGTTAAGAAGACTAGAGACTTGCAAATTATTGTCATTGACATAGTATTATAATTGTATTTTCTCCATAGATTTTAAACTCTTTAAGGCAAGCTATGCCTATTTTATATAGGACTAATTGTGCTGGCAAAGCAGTGACAGAAACCTATATGAGTACAGTATTCCTAGGTTGCAGGTGCTGTGACTAGTGCAAAAGAAAGGGCAAAATGAAGTTCAGTTGGTCTCTGTCACCATTTCTAGGCAAATAATCTCTTTAGCCTGTATAAATGTACAATATTTGTTATTTGTGATTTTGTTACAGTATTATGATATAATAAATGTTATAGTGTATAATTTAATCTCTAACATGAAATATTATGTGTAATAATATATTTAAATGAATAACAATTAACATTCTTTATATGGTTTAATATAGATTTTCCTATGGTTATGTTATATAGTGTAATCATCCCTATGACAATTAACACTTGTAAGATTTTTGTTGTTTTCTCAGCAGTTATTTTTGTTATTTTCTCAGCAACCATGTGTGCAATGAAATGCTGCTGAGCAGCAAGCAAAGTGAAAGGAATTAGCTTCAAGGTTTTTGCTCTCTTCACTATCTGAGTGGAAGAAACAATCAGGATGGCTTCCACAAGTAAAAGAAATTCTGCAGGTACAAGATTTCTTTCACTAAGATTTGTCAGTACTAGGGTTGAATTAGGTTTCAATCCATTCTTATCACTATACTATACTGTTCTCTTTGCCCTCCACTTGCCAAGTATTTTGTGGTAAACAATAGGTGAAAAATAAGGGGAAATACCATACTGAAAATCTCATCTGGACTTAGACTTTGTGTTAGTTCTGCCCCTCTGCTTCCTTCCTTAAAAGATCTGTTCTAAATCAACATTTCCCTTTATAGCAGAATTTTTCTTGTCCCTAACACAGAGGTTGAACTGACATTTGTTAAAAACATTAAAATCCGCAAAAATTAGCTAGAAACTGGAAGAAACAGCCAGTATCTTCAAGGCACTTGAGGAAGCCTTAATTCCACTGAAGGCCACAAGGTTTGGTCATGTTAAATTTCCCAGAATTTATGTATATTCTCTACCGTCCTTTACTAGAAGATCCAAACTGAGGTTTTCTCTGTTCCTTTCAGTCAGTGGATTCTTAAAAAATCTTAATATGCCCTACATGGTTTACAGCTTGAAAAATGGAATGAGCTTGTCACTCCTTTCATGGGATGTTAAAGTGCTTTAATAAAACTGACATTTTGATCAGAAATCCACCAGTGATTAGAAAATGTGAATCTTAGACTATAGCTGACCAATATTCTATGATTCTATGATTGACAGTCTCTGCAGGGTTGTGAACAACTGCATTCAGGTATTTTTCCCCCACAAGGTTTCAGCTCATATTTTACTCGTAAGATATTTTTCCTGTTGTCACATCACGACTCAGAGTGTAAGATGATCTATCCTTAGCTGTGTTTGCAACTGAGCCAAATTGAATGCCATCTATGAATTTCATGAGGGATATGTTTACTGCCTTTCAGATCACTAAATATGAAGTTAAATATGACCAGATTCCAAAAGTTAAATAAGAAACACAGAGGCTCTTGATACCTTCTGAGCCCCCAACATTTTTGCTATCATTTGTTTAGAGTTTGGGCCAGTTATCAGCAGTAACAGTAAGATCACGGAAGCAAGGCCTGGCCCTGTATTTTATAACCTTGGTTGGTGGTTGTCTTGTCTCATTGTAATATGGTTTATGACCATTTAAGCACAGAAACCCAGTGCTCAGCAACAATTTCCAGTTCAAGCAGGTCTTTGTAAGAGATTAATTGGCAACAAATTAAGTAATGCTGCTGTTCATTTCTCTTTGATTAGTGAGAATTCAAAATACATTTTGCCCTGAAGGTGGAGTCTGCAAGCACGGATTCCTCATCAAATCACCACCTCTTCAGCTTTTCAGCTCACAGGTATACCAGCACACATTAGTCATGTTTCAGCAATCCCTCAACGAGCATCTGTTATTTCTGCTATCCTGCATTTTAATGAGAGACAAATTGCTTTCTCTTTGGCAGAATTCCTGGAAAAGACGTCTTTTCATCCTGTCCAAATCCAGCAAGGGTGATTACATCCTGAAGTATCTAAAAGGCCAGAATGTAAAAGGCTCCATAGCTGTTGATCAGTATGTAACTCTAATGCTTCACCTTTCTTATTTTAAGTCATGTAGCAACACTCTTCAATGGCCACTGGTCATACAGACACTTGTTTCTGACTGAGGATCTTGATTCAAATCCCACTGAAGTCCAGAAAAGATTTTGTTGGGCTTTTGTAGACTTTAGGTGCAGCTTACAGTGTATGATATATGTAGAAGTAAAAACCTTAAATCGCTTTATTGAAATTTGATACGTTTCTGTGAGTGATTGTGGTGATGTGGTATCTGCAAACCAGACATCTTGGCTCCATGATCCCAAGGCTGTATTCCTGTAGATGATATTTTATCTCCTGTGAGGGCAGTGCTGTATATTCATTCATATGTTAATAATGATGTGCTATACCACTCTTTAACTGTGGCACACACCCTTTCCCAGCTTGCAGCTTCACAAAGTGCTTTGCAAATTGTGCAGAGGTCTCCTGACTTTGATGTAGCCCTTTGGGCTGATGCTGGTGCCCCAATGTCTCTTACTCCACCAAGAAATTGCTCTGCTTGGCTCGTTTGGGCTGGTCATTTCATTCCTCTCAGCACAGTGCCTACTGCAGCAAGGCCTGGGTGTCATTAGCTCTGTACTGGCACCCTTTACCATGTCCCAGGTGGCATGAAATACTTGCAAGGGAAACAGAAAATGTAAAGGGAAATGTAAAGATTTTACCCATCAGATCTGGAGCTTAAGACCTCTGGAATTGTTAGGCATGGAGGTCACTGAGCCACATTGCTGTTGTGCTTCTTCCATTAAAAGGATTTACACTGTGAAGCTTTCAAAAATATTCCAGTTTGCTCAGTGGTACGTGGTTACATTATTACCATCATTATTGTTGTTATTATTTTTATTGATTTAACTTCTTGGAAGTTAATGAAAGTAGTGCTTCAAAGACTT